TTCAAACTAAGAAGAGTGAAAGCCAGTTGAAATTGAAAGCAAAATTTTAAAAAAAAGGTAATAATAATAAAAGGGTGGCACATCAACATTTGAGGCCCCTGGGTTAGGTTGTATGATGTGTTAACAGAGTGTTTTCAGTAAGGGGCCCAACCACACATTTGGAAACCTGAATTGTAATTTTAGATGCAATGGATGATTTAAGATGTTTAATAGACTGAGTTTTTTCCTGACAGGGTGAAAAAGTAGCCCCTACTTGTTACATGGTCATGTAGCAAGTTAATGGCACAATCATCACTCAGTATTTCAGTAGTATTTTAATCTGGACTTTTGGTTTCAGTTTACTTACTTAATTTGCATGATTTTATATTTTATTTTAGAACAAAAAAAAGTAGTCTTCTTGTGCCAATGGGGGGAAAAAGAGTTTTCCAGATTTGTATTTTTGTATGCATTTGAACTATTCTGTTGCAAAACCTAATTTTAGCAACATTATTTTCTCTCTTTCTGTTGCACTTTTTGCCTGTTACACTTGTCTGACAGACCCAATGCTGACAGTTTTGTGAGATTTATTACTAAAATTTAAATTTAACAGAGTAAATGAATCTTTTTTTTTTTGTTAGACATAAATATAACCATTAACATTATCTGGCCTTTAGAAGGCATTTATACAGGTATTATGTGTGGGCTTGAAGTTTAGTATAAATAGGAAAGGGCCTGGGTTCTCGGGAGGTCTGGGGATTGGTATGGTGGCTTTGTGTGCTGAGATCAACAACAAGGCAAGGGCTTTTATGCTTTTTGTTTTACTTCATTCTACTTTAGAGCAGTGGTTCTCAACCTTCCTAATGCCGCAACCCTTTAATGCAGTTCCTGTGGGTCGCGACCCACAGGTTGAAAACCGCTGCTTTAGAGTATAAAGTATAATGAAGACATTTACTGGGGACTCTAATCACCTGCTCTTCCACCTAAGGGAGGTAGTGTCTTTGAAGTCTCATAAATCAACTTTATGAAGCACATAGGAAACATTCTTTTTCTGCTTAGTTCCCCTACAAATCTGGATCACATCCATTCCCTGGGCCTACACACAGGGCATTGCGCTAATGTGTGATTTGGGCTCTGCCCTCCAGGGAAGAACTAGCTATCCCTTTTCCTGCAGTGCATGTATATCACTGAGATACAGAAACTGCAATTCGCAGATGGGTTGCTTTTTAGAGGAGTGGACACAGAAGGTCAACTTCAGAGAAGAAAACTAAGAGCAATTCCAAATTTGGTGTAGTCTTCTGTTTTGAAAGAGCTCTCTTAATAAAACATAAGTAGTTTTTTGAAAAAGTACAACAATCAAAACCACATGTAACCCATTAGAAAGTTCATGGGAGATATCTGGGAATGCAAAACTAGCTTAATAAATTGGTAGAGACAGTAAAACTTTCTACCTGTGCTGGATTTTGTTTTTTCTACTTACCTGAAGTTAGAATCAGTAGTTTTTTTTTTTTTTTATTAAATCATAGCTGTGTAGATTAATGGAGTACAGTGTGCTGTTTTTATATACAGTTTGAAATATTTTCATCAAACTGGTTAACATAGCCTTCATGCTATTTTCTTAGTTATTGTGTTAAGACATTTATATTGGCTCAGTGCCTGTGGCTCAAGTGGCTAAGGCGCCAGCCACATACACCTAAGGTGGCGGGTTCAAATCCAGCCCTGGCCCACCAAACAACAATCATGGCTGCAACCATGGCTGCTATTGTGGCGGGTGCCTGTGGTCCCAGGTACTTGGGAGGCTGAGGCAGGAGACTCACTTGAGCCCAGGAGTTGGAGGTTGCTGTGAGCTGTGATGCCACGGCACTCTACCCAGGGGGACAGCTTGAGGCTCTGTCTCAAAAAAAAAAAAAAAGACATTTATATTCTACATTTAGAAAGATTCACATGTACCCTTATAAGATGAACCATAGGCATGATCCCACCAATCACCTTCCCTCCACCCATCCTCCCCCCTCCCCTCCCCTTCCCTCCTCTCCCCTTTCCCCATATTCTTGGAATATAATTGGGTTATAGCTTTCCTATGAAAGCTATAAATTAGTTTCATAATAGGGTTGAGTACATTGGATACTTTTTCTTCCACTCTTGAGATTCTCTGCTAAGAGGAATATTTTCCAGCTCCATCCATGTAAACATGAAGGAGGTAACGTCTCCATCCTTCTTTAGGGCTGCATAGTATTCCATGGTGTACATATACCACAATTTATTAATCCATTCATGGGTCGATAGGCACTTGGGCTTCTTCTGTGACCTAGCAATTACGAATTGGGCTGCAATAAACATTCTGGTACAAATGTCCTTGTTGTAGTGTGATTTTTGGTCTTCCGGATATATACCTAATAGAAGAGAATCAGTAGTCTTAGGCTTCAGTGCCAAGGCAAATATACAGATATGTGTTCTCCGTACTTGGGTTAGCTATCCTCTTCATGTGGTAGCCTTATCTCTAACAAGAGAGCTGAAGTAGCAGAGAGAATCCTTTGCTGCCTCAGAATAAGGACATTGTCAAAGTGCACAGAACTGTGAATTAGACAAATAACATGTTATCTTTTATCTTGCTGGGCCTGATTTTTGTGGTGTATTAAGCTTTCTAGTAAGAGTGTGATTTCAGGGCCGGCTTGCAAGGTGCAGCTCCATCTGCTGATATTTGTGAAGGATAGCTCTGTAAGCTCTCTGATCCAAGGTATCTTTCTACTAACCTTCATACTGATACCCTACCATTAGAGACTGACCTTTGGGTAAAGCTAGAGTTGACAGAAAGTCTCCCTTTAAATGCAGCTAGGTTGTAGGAGGAAAGACGTGAGACAGATGTTAAGATGAAGGTGTTAGGGGAAACCGTAACCACGTGGCTTGTGGCCTGGGAAAGGCAGGCCCAGGAACAGTGTCAAAATTACATTAACAATTTTGTTGAAGTTTGTGCCCATTTTCTTAATTTTATTTTCTCTTCCACTCCTCACTGCTTAGAAGGAGATTTTTGAAGGCATATACATAAGGAGTCTATTTAGATCCTTCTCTTGCTACCTTTCTTTCTCTCTCTCTGGTGGTGATATTGGAGGATAAGACAGCATTTGTCATTTGTACTTAACTGTAGTACATTTGTAAATCAAATTCTGCTGTACTTGAGTGCTTGATTTTTCTTTTCTTTTTTTTGAGTGCTTGATTTTTCCATGTTTCTTTCCAGATTTCTGTCGTTTGCTTCTTTTTCTAACCTCATCCATTTTATGCTTTGCCCAATAGAGATTTTCTAATATTGTCACCCTGATTTACTTGTAAGTCAAAGGTGTGCTATTTTTGACATTGCTTCTATCTTTAATGTTCGACCTCTCCTTTGATCAGAGTTAAATTTCGCAATATGGTGCCAGGTCTGTCTGAATGTTCCCCAGTGTCGAGAATGAGGATTGGGGGCTGGGTGCAGTGGCTCATGCCTATCATCATAGCACTTTGGGAGGCTGAGGCAGGTGGATTGCCTGAGCTCAGGAGTTTGAGACCAGCCTGAGTAAGAGTGAGACCCTGTCCCTAATAAAAAGCTGGGTGTTGTGGCGATGCCTGTAGTCCCAGCTACTTGGGAGGTTGGGGCAAGAGGATTGCTTGAGCCCAGGAGTTGGAGGTTGCTGTGAGCTGTGATGCCACGGCACTCTACCAAGGGCAATAAAGTGAGACTCTTGTCTCAAAAAAAAAAAAGTGAGTACTCTACCTAGTTGAGCCAATGATGGAGTGATCACAAACACAAAGCAATTTTACACATGGTTTATCACATAAGGAAAGAATGCCAAGTAAAGAAGACGGTTACACGAAGTAAAAATCTGTTCCAGAGAGAGACAGGTCGGTCTCCACAAATGGAGATAGACCTGGAAGTTTGAGCACAGGGCTGCCTTTTGTAAGCTCACTAGTCTGTCCCACCTTTCTCCTGGGAGGACTGGTTGTTGTTTTCTGCCTTTTGGGGTGACCGACAGGGTGGGGTTATGAAATAGATTACATCACAGGTTATCAAACAGGGTAGTTGTATCATAGTTTTTCCTTCTACACATGTGTCTTTCCCAGAATCCTTCATGAAGCTCCTCTCATGCTATGCTAATTAGATGGTAATGAGCTCTAGGTCAGTTCCAGGTCATTAGCAACTTTTTACTCTGTATTTTCCCTCCAGGGAAAAGTTCCTGTTAGCAGTTTGGTTCCAAGCTACATTTCAGCTCCTGCCCTCCACTGTCAGCCACCTCATTGCCACCTGTTTACCCTCTACCGGACCTAACAATGGGAGAATGACATCATGTCTTTCATTAAGGTGTTAGCCCAGTGGGTGTAAGGATAGAAATGCATCCTTATTACTTTAACAGGTGTCACTAAAACTAATTAGATAAACTGTATTTTTATGGTTAAAAAGTACTTTGAGGTGGATCTCTTTCCCCTTTAAAAAAATGAGAAGTCAGTTCCTGTGTCTGGGTCTACGATGAAATAAGCACATATTTCGGATCCAAACCTGTGTCTGAGTCTTCTGTTCTGTAGGGCCCTGTGTCTTCTGGGGAGTGATCACTTTCTGCATAGCATACAGTGTTCTTTGCTGTTTTCACCCACAGAGCCTTTCTTGGTGAGGGGGAGGTGTGATGTAGGAAAATTGTAAGGGCTTTGGAAACCCATTTGGATTGATGGCCCAGATGGTG